CCTACACGACGCTCTTCCGATCTCCCCAAAACCCCAAAACCCCTGGAGTCCAAATAATAAGTGATTTTTCATAATTGATGGAAATACATTTAAATTTTAATGGATTATAGTTTTTTGCTATAAGAATTTGAGGATCTGAACTCAAATCCTTAATAAATCTACGAGAAGCTTTCATACACCTAACAAGTAAAAATTCTGATCAATAATTCTTTTCCAGACTAATCAGGGGCAATATTAAATTCCATTAGAGTAAAAATATAAACGTATAATTAATCCATTTATCTAGTTTGGGTAGGAGTTCCTCTATCTCTCAAAAGAAATAATTAATGTAAAAATGTATATGCTTAACTTTTAAGTTAGCAGTAGAATGTCGCAGAGACATCTCAGCTATTGACTGAGTAATTTTTGAGAAAGGAAAAAATCAAACTGATCATTGAATAAGAAAAGCAAATAGTAAGTTTTAAGACTTTAAATGATTAAAGAGAATGAGAATTAAGAGTTTAAGAAATTCTCCAAAAAATAAAAAAAGATTAAGACATATGAGCATCAACTTAGAATCGAACCCCTTCGAAGAAATTAGAAAGAAAAACCAACAAAATACCCTTAATTCAACTCTAACAAGGCCAGTTAGTCAATACGATTCAATTGATCCTATAATTGATCATCTACACTCAAAAGAGTTTATAAGTTTGTCTCCGAAGAATAAAAAATCTGTAACTTCGCTTAATAAGACGTACCAATCGATAAGCTTGAACAGCACTATAAATCCTATTTAACTAAGAACTAAAGCAAAGCCTTAGTATAAAAAACTCCTTATTGATAGTTTAATAAAGCCAAATATCTTCAGAGAAAAAATTACAATATCAAAAAGTAAAAAGAAAAAGAAGAATTTCATTAAGGTAGAAAGGGATACTTTGATGACTAAGTACGTAGATGAAGGACTAAGAAACTAAAACATAAAAATAGAAGCCTTGTTAAGAGCGAATTCTGAATTTCAAACAGTCAAGAATACCCCTGTTACCTCACAGACGACTATTTTAATTCCTAATTCGAAGAATTCAAAACATCATGAGAATTTAATTCAAAATTAGAACATAAACTATTCGAACATTATGATGCCTTTGACCTAGAATTCTGTACTGTAAAGTGATTATATAAGATCTTAGAACATTCCTATCAGCACAATCAATAAAGCTAAGTATGAAGATTAGCAGCAAGCATTGCTGATGAATAAATACTAGAGTTTGAATCAGTATTTTGACAGATGCTCTCAAATAGGAATCAGGACTACAGCACCCTCATCCAAGAATAGTCTTCATATTAAGTAATTCAAATTCTTGCTTTTTTAATAAATTTGAATATAGCACATCAGTCAATATTTTTGATAACTACCGAATGAATAAAGCGTTGAAGCCAACAACATACTCAAGGATAGATAGTCTAAGAAGAAAATAAAAGCCATCATTGCAAAATAGATCTATGAGTAATGTCTGATTAGAAGATTAAGGATTTATGAATTTGCTAGAATTCGTTATTGTTATACTAATTAATTGATTGAGATAAAGCTAGATATTAAGTTCAAATATTATAAAATTTAACTAAAGTTAAAATCATTTATAAAAGGAAGCGAGAGGCATTTTTCTGCTAATTCTTCTTATTTCTTATCACTAATCTGTATATAAAAAGGCTCGCAAGATTTCCCACTGAATAATCTACTCAAAATCCTCAATGAACAAATTAAGCATTATTTTTCATTACTAGTAGATTAGTTTTACTCAAATTCTTTGCTTGCTTGTTATTCTTTCGTTCAAAATATTTGTCAATTGCTTATTTGATAGATCCATATTTTAGTCTATTTTCACCCTGAGTTTCACTTTTCCTCTTTTGACTTCCTGAGGGACTTGGAATATTAGTTCTGTTGTATCTTTTTACTCCTTTTCTAGGCTTGAAACCAGCTGAGTCATTTAATTCCTCTCTGATGACTCCTTTGCTATGCAGTACATTAAAGGGAGAATTTATAGAAGTTCTTGGAGGTAACTTCCCCATGACACTGCTGTAATAAGTTTTAACTTTGTCAAGTTCCCCTAAGATATGAGAATCATTTAGCTCTTCTCGAGCTTAAAAGTTTTTGTTTTAGAGGGGCTTGACTATTTGATACTACCAACTATTTGTAAAGCTTTTACTCATAGAATTGTTGAGCAGCTAGGCTGCACTATCTGGATCTAGTTGCTGGAGGTCTATTATTTATTCCTTGACTTTTGCAGTATTTCTTCTACTACTAGAAGGCGAATGCTCTGAAATAATCTTAGAAAGTTGACTGTGCTTATCAACAGAGTTATAGAGCTTAAAAAATCTTTGGACTTTTTTCTCAGGAGTAGCTGAATTTGAGCCTAAATCATTGTCATCAACAAAAGCATTAACTTTTAGCTAGCCTAATTGGTTTTAGCCGAACAATCCTCTTTGATCTTATTACTTATCTTTCATCTTGAGACTTTAATTTAAATGCGCTCTTTATCTTAGAGATTAGGATTCCATCACTCTGTTTTTCCAAGTAGTATCTTAAGGAATAGTTGAATCAAACAGTTATTGCTGTTTCTTAATTTCTACTTCTTTAGACGTAGTAGTAACATCATACTTTGACTGAAAATACTCTGCCAAGGACCCATTCTTGCCGTTATAACTTTTCCTGAATTCCACTTTTTTATCTACAAAAGGTTCACAAAATAACCTAGATGTATTTTGAATGGGGTCCCAGGACTTATCTTTTGAGTTCATTTGAGCATTAAAATCTTTTTTTGACTTCCATTTGGTCTAGTCATACTCTCTAAACTTTGGCATTGATATCAATAAGGTATTCAAGGGCTAAAACATACAAAGTATTAAGTAAAAGATTATACCTCTGTTGTAAGTTTGGGTGCATTTTAGATGCCTTCTGCCACTCTTAGATCTTAAGTAAATGGCTGATATCTAAATTAACTTCCAGACAATTACTTAAATGCATGATTATCTCTGAAATTATTGATTATATTTGGCTGTTTATCTGAGTATTCGTCATCTATGAACATTATTATATCTAATACTTACTCTTGTATAAATTTACGGATTCCATCATTCTACTGCTGCCAGCAGTGTTGTTATTAGTCCTCTGAGAAACCTATGTTGAATTAAACTCCCTGAATTTGTGATGACTTGTATGAACCATTGGCACTACCCCCTTTTGATATGCTATAAGTAGCCATTAGATTAATTAAGCTGTTCTTAACACCATAAATGATTTTATATTTCTACAAAGCCAATTTCTATTGATACTTACCCATCAGGAATTCTTTATCCTAGAGCACGGCATTTATCCAGTCTTCTCTCCTTTGGTTCTAGCTTACAGCCATTCTCTCGAACTTCTATTTTTTCATTTCTGACTTTCTCTTTTCATTTTCTTAGTCTAGCCTCACTCACTTTTCCTCACTTTTCTAACGGGAGGTTTGAAGCAATGTTGAAAGATCATTGCCTGTAATAGAGGATTGTTAAGTTGATGCTTATTTTAATTTAGCTGCGTTTAAAAGGCCTCTCATTAAAATTTATTATAGAATATAGATAAATAAAATAGTAATCAATTCATTAATTTGTTTTAAATTGTCCCAAGACACTACAGATTTGAATTTAACTATTTCATAATAAAATCAGTGGAGTCCTTACCCACTTATATTAATTGCTATCAATACACCTTTTTCACTGGAGACTGGTGATTAGTCAGGAGATTTTCAATCATTTCCTTGTAGTTAGTTAGTCTCTCTCTTTCGGCCTTAAGTCTCATTTGCTCCAGTTCAAAATACAGATTTCTGATTTTCTTAACATCAGCTCCCTGAGTGGGGTCTTCGTAAGACTTGAAGAAGTTCCGCTTCTTAGCATCAAGAATTTGAGGTCGCTCACACATCATAGCATAAAGAGTCTCTGTTAGATTCTCTGCTAAGTTGCCTTTCTTTTCGTAATAAGATTTAACTAAGGATTTAAGCTGGAATACTGAATCGAGTTCCAAGGATTCCTTCTCAGCAGGACTCAGGATTTCCTGGAGCAGTCTGATAAATCCATTCATCTTTTGCTTGAATGCTCCAGTCCCGCTCTCTCCTCTGTAGTTTTAGTCTTCATCAGATGAATCACTAGCTATAGAGACTACTTCTTCAATCAGCCCATTTTGATTGCTTCTTTGATGTCTCTTGAAGTACATAATATTATTGGCTTAATTTTGGTTGTCATCAATTTGCTTAATGTTCATCGACAGAGAATGCAGTAAATACAGCTTATACAGTCTAAATATTAGCAATTTGTTTTCCTTAAGTTCATTTAGAAAGTTAATGTTGAAGTATTCTTTCAGAAGCTAGCTGCATTCCTTGAACAGCTAGTCCTCAGTCAGCATGTCTAACAGTTTCATCTCCTCTTACTCATTAGAACATTTGATGGAGTTGGTAATTGATGAGATCAAGATATTTTCTCTTTCTTGCTTAGACAGTCGCTATTCAACTAAATTTCTCATATAAGAAATATAATATCTTACAAGACCTAGGATAGATCCTAGATTAATTGGTTGACCCTTAATTTGAGATAGTGCTGGTCTGATTATTCTAACCTACTTTCTTAGACTAATTGACTTTTGAATTTTTATTTAAAAGCAATGGTGTAGGAACTTCGTCTGACTATTTATTTTGTTTAACAAGCAGTGTTGACTTCTTAGGCTTCCTCTTATTTCTATATTAAGGAGAATTAACATCACTATGCTATGATTCATCTCTTGAATATCTACCATCCTTGGGTGTGTTAACAGTTAAGTTGTTGAGGCCAAAGTTTGAACTCAGATGATGACTCGGTCCATGACTTTATTTTTAGATGTACTGATTTTAGATTATTTAATTTATTATTTGGCCACCTCTAGGCGTCTCCTGCTAATTACTTGTCAATTATTGAAGAGAGACTTCTTTATTTGTGATTTAATAGTGCTCCCTGAATATCTAGTCATATCTTTCAAATTCATCCTGCAGTTTCTTATGATAGTTGACTGCCCCTTGATTCTTTTTAAGCAAGTTGTTATTCACTGACTGATAGGTGTTTTGGCTTTAACCTATAAAATCCTAGAAAGAATGCCCGTTTTCGTTGGGTCTAGCCTTAATTGTAACTGTACCCTCCCCTGAATTGTTCTAGCGAGTGGAGTAAGCCTAGTTTTTAAGTTTAGCTAAGTCAGACATTCTAATGATCTTAGCCTTCTTGTTGTGGAAATTTGGAATAAATATCAATTATTCTGGCTGATTACCTGAGTCCATGCTATAACCTCCATAGTCCTCTGTGTTATTATTATTAGCTGTTGTATTAAACTTCAGCTATTTCCTATTAGTAGTTCTAGATGGTGAAGATGGCTGAGTTTTGCTTGCAGTACTTTGCTTGCTCGATCTGATTTGAGATTACGGCTTTAAATCTATTGAAGGCTTTTCCTGTAATCCTGTGATAAATGTGCTAGATTGTGCATCCTTTTAAATGGGCAAAAGCTTAAACTTATCTATCTCTTCGGAGTCTTTCCTAAAAGTCTGAGTTCGTGAATTATTCATGCTATACCTCTTCTGCTATGCAGACTGGATAATTTACTTGATAAGCATACCATGCTTGACAGCTTTGACTCTTTGATATGAATCAGCTATCTCAGACTTAAGGATCTAGCCCCCATCTTGACTATTCGATATCAATCTCTTCAAGCTATTAGTGTGCAGTCTGGTATTTTTCAATCTTGTGTAGTTTTACTATTGCTATTGATCTTCTTCCTCCTCATTTTCATCATTCTAGCCCACATTGAACTTCTTGTCATGATTGTCTCCATTAGAATACCTCTTCTTGTTAAATGTCCCCTGTCCAGTAGTTTAGATGTTATTTGTACTGTTGTTTAACCCACTCTAGATTACACCGATCTAGCTAGATGCTCTGAATTTTCTCAGTTATCCTTGATATTGATTAAGAATCTTGACAGTTCGACCAGGTTCAATGAGCTACTAAGCAAAATTGGAACTACTGTTACTGTAATTGCCATGAACCTCATTTATTCTTTTCATAATTTTAATGTTCTTATGAGTCTATTAATCTAGAGATCCCTTGGTATGCGGGAGATTCATTTTAATGCCCTCAATAGCTTAAAGAACATTTGCAAAGTCACCAAACTGCTAATACGGTCTGTCAGTTGGCGCATTCCACCCTTTATTACTAATGTTCTATATTTATATTTAAAAGCCCTTCGACTGAAACTTAAGAACTTACCTTTTCTCGCTCTTCTTTTCGCTTAAGAAAATCATAAGGGTCATTGACTATCACGCTATTAGAAGTCCTGTGGATGATGACATCTCTTTGGAAGTTCTAGTGAGAGGGCAACTTGGAGGAAGACTTGATTGGGGTGGTGACGACATTACTTAAATTGGTGCCACTCTTAATTTGGTCCAGCATCGTTTGCTGCTGTTATTGCAAATAATTACTCATTTTAATTTAATTTGCTGATTTATTATATGTTGCTCATTTATTTTGATTTCGGGGTTTTGGGGTTTTGGGGG